GACAGCAGCGAATCCTATTCATGAAGGTTCCAGTGTCTTTTGTTCTGTGTCGGTGAGTGAGTGAGTATGTGTGCATGTTTGAGTGACAGTGATTGATGAGTGTCAAATGTAAGGGTGACCTCTTATAGCAGTAGAGTTGCCCACACGCTGAATAAAGTACATATTAACAATAATGCGACTAATTATTTATAGACGTAATTCAAAATTATTTCAAGTACCGCATTGAATTTAACATTTAATGATATGCGACAAAATGACGCATTAATGAATGGTGACGTGAAAATTATTCGCAAGCCTTTCGCGAATTTCCCCGAGGAAGTAGGTGTCTTTACCGACCATGCAGACTTCATTTGACGGGGGAACGCAACCCAAAAATTGCCGTATATTACGAAGCATAAACGAGCTGGGAAAATCTATAAATTACCCACTCTATCTACGGATCTATGATGGGCGCTCATGAAATGCCCTGCGGGGATTTATCATGAATCACGAACCGATGTTATTTTACCCAACATGACGGCGACATATAAAGTGTGAGCGGGTTATGATTAATTAAGTGGATCCTAAATCAGACTTAAAACCTAGTCCTAAATTAATGGACATAATTGCGGTCACCCTGGCTCAAAGTTTGCCGAACGTATGATTTACTTCAGTTACTTTAACTTACTATCATTGTCGGAACTATCATCATCTAAAGGAAACGCCGAGTACATTACGCATAAAAATGCAACCCCAAGTATTCAGACACTCTGACACTATGTATGAGGCTATCTCTTGACGTTATATTTAATAATACGTGTCGTGTTACAAGTTCCGTTCTAGCGCCGATAGAATTTGTCACCATGAACATGTAACGGATTGCTATGCATTAACCCTATATTGTGACAGCTTAGTTCAAACAATGGTCAGGTCAAAACAGGAAATGGAGAGAGAAGAATTTAATGAGTGAATGTTCGTGAAAGAATAAATTCACGAACGCGCTAAATTCGCATGATTGAAACAATATAATTTAATCACGAAAAGAAATTAAATAGACGCTTAATAAATGAACGATTTCATACTGCTTAACTCCATACCGCGATTGACAGTAATGAGAAGTGAGGTCAGAAAATGAGAAATGAGAATGAGAGTATGCCATTGCGGCAGGTAGCTAGCGTGGGCGGCAACGCTGCTGGTACAAGCCTCCACATGGTCTTTATACAGTCTATTGTATATTGCTCGGCCACCTACTCACGGCTCGTCCTCGGGGCGATCTAGACTTCCTCAAGGGTGACCCAACCTGACTGGTTCCAACTTGCTCGTCCTCGATCTCGGGTGCGGTATCCTTGGTGCATCTCCGTGGCTGCTCGTTCTGTGTCGTCATCCTCGCTCTGGTTCCTGGGAATCCGTTCGTCCTCGACATCCTCACGTCCTCGATTGGTCTCGCCCGGTCCTCGTCCAGACATTCTCGTCTTCCGCGCACAGGTCCAACTCGGCGGCTTATTCGCTCAATGCACGCCTTGCAGATCTCCGTCCAGGTCCTTCTTGGCTGCACGCTCGTACAGACGTCCTCGTAATCTTCGTCAGGTCTACGGGCGTCTGGCAGGAAGCGTCTTCTTCAACATCGTAGGGCGGCTGATACCTGTACTAATGAGCTCCTGGAGTTTGAATGGGTCTGCGGTGTCCAGGCAGGCCCGTCCACAGCATCATGGGACGACGAACCTCTACTGGCGAGCCGTGTCGTCGCTGGATCTCGGGGCGTCCTGGCGGCGGCGATCCTCTGATGACGTTTTCAATGGCTTCCGAAGGCGACTGTTTCTGCAGCAGGGCCTCCTTCGGTGCCGTTTCAGATATCGGGAACCAGAGTAACACATAATGGGCCAGATAGTGAGAGAAAGAAAAACGACAGAGAAGAGAAGGCGTTAAATGCTACAAGGCGATTTTTTTTTGTTTCATAATTTGCAGTTTTTAAAGTTGACAAGTTACGCATCACGACTAACAATATTACGGCAACAAATACGTATGCCTGCAACTAAGACAGCAGCGAATCCTATTCATGAAGGTTCCAGTGTCTTTTGTTCTGTGTCGGTGAGTGAGTGAGTATGTGTGCATGTTTGAGTGACAGTGATGATGAGTGTCAAATGTAAGGGTGACCTCTTATAGCAGTAGAGTTGCCCACACGCTGAATAAAGTACATATTAACAATAATGCGACTAATTATTTATAGACGCAATTCAAAATTATTTCAAGTACCGCATTGAATTTAACATTTAATGATATGCGACAAAATGACGCATTAATGAATGGTGACGTGAAAATTATTCGCAAGCCTTTCGCGAATTTCCCCGAGGAAGTAGGTGTCTTTACCGACCATGCAGACTTCATTTGACGGGGGAACGCAACCCAAAAATTGCCGTATATTATGAAGCATAAACGAGCTGGGAAAATCTATAAATTACCCACTCTATCTGCGGATCTATGATGGGCGCTCATGATGGGCGATGTTATTTTACCCAACATG